AAAAAAAAAGAGTGCATGATAAAATGAATTTGCAGTAAATAAAAGTGGAAGGTAAATTAAATTCAATGAAGAATACTAAAAAACATGTTAGGTTGAAACCAATGAATAGAAAACAAAAAAATAAAGGTAAAAAAAAATTATCAAATAAAAAAAGGATTTTCAAATTTTCAAAAAATCCTAATATGTCAAGATGTTCATTAAGTTCTCCGTATTCAGACTCACTTGATTGACGGCTTCATAAACACACGGCAATCCGGCATCCTGATTTTCCGTTTTTACATAAAGAAAATATTAACAAATGATAAGAAAAATATTAAAAAAGACTTATAAGAATAGCATGGGACGGTCATTCCCTTTATTCTTTAGATTCTTGATCCCATAACCATAATAGAAAATGCTATACTAAACTCACAGCGAGAACACGATCACCTAATCTCACCACCAAATCTTCGTTCTACGTTGTGATCAACAAAGTGAAAAATCCGAGTAACCTTATCATGTCTCCATTCAAAATAAAAAAATGGCAATAAGTCCTTTTAAAATGCTCCAAAGCACAAATGAAATGGTCTTTGTATTTTCTCAAAAAGAAATGGTCTTTGTATTCATCTCCATTACTAAGAACCTCACCGGAGAACAGAACCCAAGTTGATATGCGTCCATTCTCAGGCAGAAGGTCTAGAAGGTCTAGGCGGGTTAGCAACAAGGAATGCTGTTGCTACTGCAGCTGCTTCTTCTTCATCTTCATCTTAGTCGGCGTCGCTATCTACATTTCGCAGGGGCTTCAGAACTGACAACCCCAAATGCTCCGTCGACTACTTCTACGTGCCGACGCTCAACAGAACCCTGAACTCCACCACCAATTCCACGTTGTTCTTCAATCTGAAGCTGGCAAACCCCAAAGGCGGCATCGGTATTAACTACAACCACGTGAAGGTCAACGTCACCGTGTTCGACGCCGTGGGAAACGGGTCCCAGTCGTCCCACCTCCTGGGGGACACTACGATCCAGCGCTTTTACCAGGGGTATGCAAAGGCGGCTGAGAAACCGGGTCATGTGGACTATAACATGACGGTGGTTTCCCAGGGGGTTATCCCTAACGCGACGGCGGTTTTCCGGATAGATTTGGTGACGGCCGTGAGGTTCAAGAACGTGTTTTTGAGTAAGAAGCGTGAGATCATGGTAGGGGCAAGAGTAGTAGTCGACGGGAATGGTTCTATGGTTCTTCCAAAGAAGGAGAAGGACATCGCACTCTGTTCCATGGCTCCAAAGCAGGGATGCTGCAGCATGGTTCTGCTGATTCTGGGGAATTTTCTGGTCTTGATTAATTTGGTTACTTTTTTGTGAGTTTTTCTTGCTTTTAGCTTTGTCAAGGCTTTTGATTTTTATCTTCTCTTTCTCAAAAAGAAAGAAAATGTTGTTATGTATGAGGAATTTGCTTGTGGAAATTTGATTCTTATTTCCATAAAAAGATAGATTAATTACGTACATCTTATTGTGTATATATATACATATACATATATATATAGTGGAAAATACAAATGAGATAATCATTTTGTTTTATTTTTTTATATAATTTGACGTGTTATTAAAATAATTAATTTTTTTAATTTATATAGGATTCATAATATTAAATGTATCCATTCATTTACTGATATATGAAAATTGTATAAAAAAATAAAATAAAAAGATTATCCTAATAACACTACTCATATATTTATATACATGTATAATTATTTTAAAATTTAATACGGTTTATATTCTTAAAATGTGCTAAATTTAGTATACATACTCAAAAAAAAAAAAAAAATTAACTAATAAATCTTGAAATAAAATCTAAAAACTTATTTCCGTGGAAGTAGTTAGTCAGCCTTCTTCAGCATCTAGCCATATCTGCCTAAATTGGTGTTTTATGAGTTCGATATTTTAAGTTTAAATAAATTTTTTATAATCAAATTAGATATGATAGCTTAG